AGGTGTTAATAAACCATTTGTAAATGTGAGAAACTTAACAAGGAAAGCAACCAAAACACTGACAGAGACGAAAAATGTGCGGTTTAACAAAGCATTACACTGAAGACAATGGTTATATGCCTCCTGATGTGGAGGGACACTCTGGAGCAAACCACTTCCTTGCTACTCCCTGTGGGTCTCTCAAAGCTTTAAGCTTTAATTTCCATAGTTTCAAGGCTCTCTAGCATGAAATTGCATCATTTAAATTTTTAAAAGGAATGGTGGTCAAAAAGTAACATCTATATATCAAGATCTGTAGACGGTGCAAGATTTTTGAGAATATTTCGCACAAAATTAAAAACGAATTCATATTGGGATCAGCTGAAACCATTCACGCCATTTAAGCGAGACTGACTGAAGTCCACAGCATTCAGTGTTAATCCCAAGCAGCATCCAAAATGGAATGTAAAAACAAAACCAATTTTCATCACACCTTCGAAACAAAATGTTGTGTCTTCTCAGTTTGCAAGACTGGTGTATCAAAAAAAAAAAGAATAACAGAACATTAGAACATTTAGTCGTTTCTTAGCACTAAAAAAAACCCTTCGGGCAGCTTGAAAAAAAGTTCTAAAAAAACTGTAATGTGATTCGCAATGACTATTTGCACTCTGTTCACTAATTACCTGGGCTGTGACTGAAGCAGAGGGCTGGTTATTGACCCTGCCCCGAGCCCTGGCTGGTGCAGCGTTCAGGGGAAGGTGACCGTCCCTCCTCCATCCCTCTCGTTCGGCGCCAGGGAGGGATGTCGTGCCTCTGCCAGCCCTGCCCGGGCGAGGGGCTGGGGAGTGTGGGAGGCAGCCGGGGTCCCACGCCGCAGCTCAGGAGTCGCTCAGCTCACCCAAGTCAGCTTTCAATAAGGCAGAGCAGGCATTAGTTATAAAGGATCGTGGCAGCACGGAGCCTGCCGACTCCACAGCTTGAGTAGAGGAGCCGTACTTGCCAGTGCAAGATATGGGCACGATCTTGGGTCCCAAACATAAGAAGGACATGGAGGTGGTTGGAGTGAGTCCAGAGGAGGCCACGAAGACGATCCGACGGCTGAAGCACCTCTGCTATGAAGACAGGCTGAGAGGGTTGGGGTTGTTCAGCCTGGGGAAGAGAAGGCTCTGGGGAGACCTTCTAGCAGCCTTCTAGTACCTAAAGGGGCTACAAGAAAGCTGGAGAGGGACTTTCTACAAGGGCGTGTAGGGGGTAGTGGATTTAAACTGAAAAGGGGGAGATTTAGATTAGATATAAGAAAGAAAGTTTTTACAATGAGGGTGGTGAAACACTGGAGCAGGAACTGCCTAGAGAAGTTGTAGATGCCCCATCCCTGAAAGTGTTCAAGGCCAGGTTGGATGAGGCTTTGAGCAACCTGATCCAGTGGAAGGTGTCCCTGCCCATGGCAGGGGGGTTGGAACTCGATGATCTTTAAGATCCCTTCCAACACAAACCATTCTGTGATTCTATGGTCAGGAAAACAGGAGTGAGCGCATGCTCGCCGGGATGCTCAGCAGCGTCGGAGGGTGTGGTGAGGTTTCATGGCTGGGCTTGCTCTTGGCCTAGAGACACAAAGAAGTCTGTGGCGGATCTGAAGGCTGGGACGTAACCAAGCGAACCATGGTTAAAAAGAAAAGCAATTCAGGCAGCTGTGCTTCTGGTTGTTGCATGGCTGAGCAGGCAAGACCAGACCCTTATCCTCAAGCTGTTGTAAGGGGAAAATGCACCAGAGGCACACAGCGAGGAAAAGGGTATGGGGTTTGGCCAGAAGCACCCATTAAACTATTGCCCCAAATAGACAAACTGAGAAAACCAGCCCCAAACTCTGGACTTAGCTGGGTGGAGGCTCAAGCTTACCTCTCTTTTACAAATTCAAGTAGCTTGTTACCATCCAAAGGCCTTTTGGCACAAACGTGTCTAACCCACGAGAGGGGAGAGCTCCCCATCCCAGAGCCACCAGCATCACCAGCTTGGGCTGGCCTTGCTGCTGGGAGGAGGACGGGACCGAGCACGTTTGAGGCAGTTAAGTACATTCACGGTGCAACACATGCACCTGCATCCCTGCCTGAATAGCATTGATACTCTTTTTTTTGTTTGTTTCACTCTTGACAAGAGAAGAGCCTTAATTGGCCATGAAGAAATTCATCAAGCAGCAGCCTGGTGCGGCTGTCGGGGCCCCCAAGCATCTGGGAGGTGCCCTGCCCGCGCCC